AAAGCTGGCTATGTTTTGCAGTTTTTATTATTTGCACTAGAAGCCAGTGGTTAATGCTATTTGACTCATTTAAATAAAATGTTGAAAATGCAGTGGTGCTTTGTATTAATGGGGTACAATACAAGAAATACAGAGAAATGTGCGGCCCACTGGCAAAAGCCGTATGACAATTTGGCCCAATGAAAAATCTAATTGAATACCCCTGTTCTACAGCCAAATGTAATATGAACACAAGCTGCCATGCGGACGACCATCCCCAGCCTGAAAGCGCATGAAACCACACGTGGAAAAGTGAAGTATGAACTAGGCTTTAGGAGACTCCCTGAAGGCACAATAAGCCCCTTCCCCGTGTGTAGCCCCGTGACTGAGTGCCGCACCTCTTTTAGCCGCCCACTGGTGAATAACGGGGACAGCGCACTCCGTATCCTTTTCCATTTTTCGTCTTTTACCAACGACAGAGCATCAGCCAGCGGCCCGGCCAGAACCATCTCCTGCAGGAAGACACAGCGGTGGGCTAGCTCTGGTGCTCACCAGAACAGTACAGAGAACACTGGCCATTGATCTTATATGCCTACAGTAGCTAATCGTTTCTGGCATCCTTAGTGCTGAGGGACAGAAATGTTGACCAAGAGCCAGTGGATCCAAGGAGGCTCCTGATTCTAAACAGCTTAAGCAAAATATGGAAACGGCCAGCTACACAATTAACCAGCAGTGTAAAATAATCCATTCATCTGTCATTTTCATCAATTACTTAACAGTTGATATGACCCAGGGTCTATTGCAGGAAGCATATGGTGAATGGCCCCTCTGGGATAGATGCATCTCAGGAAATTCACACACACACCAAAGCACATACTCAACGATGGGAATTTAGTATCATCAGCACTGCCAGTGCCCCTAGTACGAGGATCAAACAGTCTGAGGTGCACATTGTCTGAGACAATGGGGGGGGGGCATGGTGAAGTCTGCCCAGGGCTCCACAAGGACTTCAACCAGCACTGGAAGAACATATCAACCGCACACATATACAGCTGGGCTGGATCCTTCACACACTGGCAGCCAGGGGAGTTGTCAGACCTTCTAGGCTCCCTTACAAAATGTCACCTTGGGGCCCCTGCCCCCTTAAATTATATAATTTTATAATTTTACATATTCAAGGCCCCCTGAATCTGTCAGGGTATCCATGCCTCTCTGACACCCCTGCTGCCAGCCCATGGTACAGCAAATGTTTTTATTACTGTACTGTATGGCTGGAAAATGTGGAAAACGGCAAGAATGTTTGTACCAAATGCTGAGGGCTCAGGGCACGGAGAAGCAGCTCAGGCCATGGAGAAGCAACTCAGACTTACCCTTCGGTTTGTGAAGATGGTGTAACATTCTTTGACCATCACTGTTTTTATCATAGCTGGGTCTGTAATCATCAGCAACGGCTGTCGCCCATCAAAAATCCTGCAGATTAAAAAATGCATGAAGCTCATAAGAAGCAGGACTCTGTAATGGGCCTGGTCTTCAGCAGCCGTATACATCCCTCTTTGGCTGAATACCTGACATAAATATATATATACACCTTCCTAGCAACCATCCATCTTTCTTACCACATACACAGTACATGGTCATGGTGAGTGTAAGGCACGGGGCATAAGGCAGGGGAACACCCCGGATGGAATGATCGACCATCCATCCATCCATCCATCCAATATTGAACTTATCTGTTTCATGGTGAGGGTCTTGTAGATAGACTCACCCCCAGATGCTTCCATATTTATTGAAACACTGCACATCAAAATTGTGAAAGCCCTGCAGAGGTGGAAATGAAGCTAAAATTACTGATGTTAATGTTCTTACTTGGGAGGAATTAACATTTTATTCGAGAAAATAGTTTCAGAATGTTTAAGGTTATGTTCATTTTAAAGAAACAAATCATTTGTCTTTCCATCAACCTTCAGTTTTCCTGACTGAGGGGGCCAAGACAGTGGGGGGGGGGGGGGGGACAGTTCAATTCAGTTACAAGTTGCAAATCTACTTCTTATATTGCGATGAGATTTACCATTGATTTTTAAATACACTCACCTAAAGGATTATTAGGATCACCATACTAATACAGTGTTTGACCCCCTTTCGCCTTCAGAACTGCCTTAATTCTACATGGCATTGATTCAACAAGGTGCTGAAAGCATTCTTTAGAAATGTTGGCCCATATTGATAGGA